CACTGCTTGCGTCCAATAACAATAACTGTAGATTTTTGTTTCGTGTTGAGGCGTGTATAAAAATGGTTTTATAATCAGTACGGACATTTCATATGTAGCGCTCTACAAAACGTAGTACTTATTTTTCAATGATATAAGTCATTGACAAAGAAATTATATAAACGTTGCATTCTCATGTAACATTTCCAGACTAAACTAAAGACCTAGCGATCTAACAAAATTACGTCATTTATCTGTTACGTCATATGTCTGTGTAACTACCCACTTACAATATATGAACTTGTTGGTAATTTTGTTTTTTCATTTATATATATCTACGTAAACATTGTTATTCAGTTTCCATCGCGACAAAACTGAGAATTAATCAAATTTTTAATTATGATTTTTGTTTAGAAACAGAAATATATAAAAACAATGTAAATGCTATTTTTGATAAATAATACAATGTGAAAATCATTAACAGGAGCTGAGCACAGATGTTGCCCTCTGTTGGAGAGAAGTTCTATACATGTGCCTCATCGCTTTAGGTATTTCATAAAGAAATTAAATAGAGACAATTACAGATTTTCTACTTCTTATAAGAAATAAAAATATTTGTGCCTTCAAAATAAACGAAGATAAAAAATTAAATTTTTCCACTTTGATTATAAAACAAAAATGTTTTAATTATCATATTTTGTGAAGAAAATAACTAATAAAGTATTCAATTCTGTTGGTGTTAATTAAATCTTGAATATATTTTGCAGCTATTATAAAACTAATATATATATCAAGGTTTTTCTGGTTGTTATGATGACGATGATGATAAAAATGTTTGATAAAGTGACGTAGGAGTGCATTTCCATTTAAATGATTTATGTCATCTAGTCAGAAACAGTGTAATATATTTTTAGGCTTAAGTAACTAAAAAAAAAAGTATTGTGTTTCATTGTGCTAACTAAAAACCGCTGTTTACTTCTTTTTATTTACACACCATTCAAAAACGGGTATATTATAGTAGTAAGCGTTTGAGGTAAAATAAGTTTTTATGCGTTGATGTTTATGACAGTTTTAATCCTAAATATTTTTACCGTTTGCCTACGTGTGTGTTTGAAACTATACCTTAACACATTTTTCAATAATTTGAAAGTGTAATTTGACATGCGTGTCCGCGGAATTTGTTAAAGGCGTTCTGAAATATAAATATCGATAATAACTCAATGCGGTCTATTATACTGAAAGGCTATTTCACGCTGTCATCGTGTTATTCAATATTAATTTAGGTTTTAAATCTAATTAATATCACGTGTGAGAATCAATGATAGGATATGTTCCACTGCTTCTCTTTAGGTATTTTCGTACGAAGAAGATAAATTAATACTAATTTCAAAATTATCCTCGATCATAAATACTCCAGATGTTTCATATATAAAAATTAAGATGATTTTTTTTTGCATGGTGAACGTGCTGTTCTTTTTATGAATTCAAGTAAAAGTTCGGCACACACGACAGTTATTCCTCTTATTAATAGTGATAGAAGTGCTCTTTCATCTTATCTTCTTCAAACTAATTATTACCCACCTTAGTTTTGGTTAGGGGTACTCGACTCGCAATCTGAGGGTCGAGGGTTCGAATCCCCGTCCCACCAAACATGCTCGCTCTTTCAGCCGTGGGGGCGTTATCATGTGACGGTCAATCCCACTATTGGTTGGTAAAAGAGTAGCCCAAGAGTTGGCGGTGGGTGGTGATGACTAGCTGCCTTCTCTCTAGTCTTACACTGCTAAATTAGGGATGGCTAGCGCAGATAGCCCTCGTGTAGCTTTGCGCGAAATTCAAAACTAACCAAATCAAACCTTAGTTTTGGTTATTTACACTTTGCATTTTATTTTCAGGACTAGCGGGTGTAGTTGTTATTCTTCTTCGTTTTATTGTTGGATTTCTTATCTGGTTAGTGCTGATATCACTCAGTTTGGCAAGCGTCGTTGGCACGGCATATGTCTGGTGAGTGTTACTGTATCCCTAGTAAATACTAGTGCATGTCTGATAAATTTTGGTGTATGCCTTCTACAAGTTCGTACTTGGTATTTGTTTCTTTAAGTAGAGTTGGGATAAGTCCGTTGTTTATTTTATAAGCGTTGTTTTAGGCCTGTTTGATTTAGAGTTAGTATAAGTTTGTTTGTTGCATGATTTGTAAGTTTTGGTGTAATTGTAGCGTACGACAAGTATTACTTTAGGTTAGGTAAATTTTAGTGAGTGTTTTTAAACACACAGCTGTACAGTGGACTACACGTGATTTGCCCACAACGAATATTGAACCCCTATTGAACCTCAAATTCACAGCTGAACCACTGGGGGGTAGTGTATTTGTCCGTGTAAGGTTTGCAGTGAATGTCTGATAAGCACAAGCTACTTATGAACGTGTGTGTGAGAGACGAAACTACATACAGACAAAATGCTTCGTTAAAGGAATGTTTACATGGTGTCATTCGTTGTAACGACATAGAAGTAAATTCATTTACGAAAATACTTCCGAAATAAAAGGTCAGTTGAATTGATTACGCTACATACTTTGAATCTAATAAGAGCGATAATTTATTCCGTTTTGTGGGTTGTAGGTACATGTGGCGAACTCGGAAGAAACAAGTAGAGAATCTGGCTCTTGACGATCCTAGAAAATCAAACAGAGAGACTGAAGTGACGCACTGGTTTGTGGGAGCAATATTTGCAACAATCTTTACCGTAAGTAGTAATTAAAGCTCTGCAATAATTCCAAATAAAAAGCCTTCAATGTAAATAATAACGCAAATTTCATAATATTTGCCGAAATATTCAGGATAAATACTCACTTAGGTTCTTCAATATTTTCACTACCCTTCACCGTAAGTAATTATCAAGGTTCTGCAACTTCTTCAACAACCCTTACCATAATTAATAAACACCTGCAATATTTTCACTAACCTTCACCTTAAGTAGTTATCAAGGTTCTGCAACTCTTCAACAACCCTTACCATAGTTAATAAGCGCCTGCAATATTTGCAGAATTATTTACAATAAATAATTATTAATGCTCAGCAATATTTGTGACAATTTTCATCATATGTATTAATTGTCTTCCTGTAATATATACAACAATTTTCAAGTATTAACCATCCTACAATACATATATATATATATATATAAAACATTCACCGTGAATATTAATTGTCTTCCAACAATATATACAACAATTTTCAAGTATTAACCATCCTACAATACATATATATATAAAACATTCACCGTGAATATTAATTGTCTTCCAACAATATATACAACAATTTTCAAGCATTAACCATCCTACACAAGATACATGAAACTTTCACGGTGAGTATTAATTGTCTTCCTGCATTATATCCAACATCTTCGTCGTAATGCAATATTTAAAGTCGCTTCTTCGGAAATTGATGATGATACATTTCCTGCTACAGTATTTTGTCAAAAAAAAACAAAAAAACAAACGACATGCCTTATTCCAGTTAAATGTAGCTTACTGCTGAAGGACAGGAAATCACGTGTAAATTTATTTATTTAGCAATTATACAAAGGGAATGGAAATGACTTGCTAATCAATACTAACAAAGCAAAAATGCACTTGACTGAGCAATACCGTACAGAATACTTAATAATGTAAGAAACGATTAGATATAGTACATTGATTAATGATCGCAAATTGCCTGGATAAAGAAACTTTGCATTACCTAGTTTAAACTGACAGTGTTTTAAATAGTCTGAGCTGAGTGAATAAACAATGTTATCTATAATCTTACTTCAAACAGTCTGACCATGAAAAATCGTTTAGAGTAAACAACTAATTGGATATATCATTCTATTTAAAGCAACGAACTTAAATTTCAAAGAGTTAAAGTCTTGGAATATTTGCAAGACGACTAAGAAATCTAGCTCATTTAAAGCCAAACAATTCTCCAATTACCAGCTTTGATTTAGGTACACAGTAAAATCATAGAAAACAGTAAGAACACGTGTTATAATATTTCATTTCTTATATGAAACTGGTAGATTTTGGGAAGTTTAAAGGAGAATACGTATCCAATGCAGTGAAAGAATTAACCAGCACTATTAAGGTGATATTTAATTAACGAGTTTAGCTGAACGAAATCTGTGCAATAAGCTGAGATGTGGGATCTGAAAGATGCATCTGTCCAACTGGAAGTAGCATGGAATCAAATTGCCATTATTCTTAGTTTAATCCTTTTTAAAAATAAAATACAAACTATTGATACGAACAGACGATTTTTTTTTACTACTAACAATGGAGCAAATGATAGAATAAACAGTTTCTTGAGTTATCTTTCTTTTTCAGGTCATCTTCCTTCTCATCATCATTATCATGAGAAAAAGAATAGAATTGGTAAGTATACTAGAGATACGTTTGTTTATATATACCCCAATCTACTTAAATTAATTTCTTAATTTTTTGAAAGACTACCAGCAATTGGTGTGAAGTCTACCAATCACGTGGCTTTAACACAGAACGTCTGTGATTGTTGGTATTTGTACTGTAACAGGCGATTCTCTGAAAAATTATACGGTTCGATTTTAAAGTCACGTGATTCAACTGAGGCATTACTAGTGTACTCTTAAAGCTAAGATTGTGTAAAATGTATATATCAAATGTTTTATTAGCAGTGTGACAAAGATACCAAAAGGCTATGTACAGCTTGAAAGTGCCATGCATATTTCCCTTTCACTTTAAACTTATAGATTAGAGGTCACTAAATTTTAACTACTTAAAAAAATGTAGATGAATAATATCAAATCTTTTAGATTTCCCAGTTTTAAGGGCTGAATGCAAACAATTTTGAAAGTCTCGATCATCAACTTTGTAAGCTGACCAGGAGGTTTAAATAAAACAATTTGAAAACAACGTAATAAATATTCATACCTTTATACGTCATTGTATAGAACGTCTTGCACTGTGGACTGTGGATATGATCAGTTTGAAAAAACAAAAACAAACGAAAACATTGAAAGTAGAGTCAGCGTTATATGTGGGCTTTAGTTTGTTAGTTGTTACACAATTGGACTATTTGTGCTGTTTTCATTGCAGGTATCGAAACCCGATTTTAACATTATAAGCCCTCAGAATTACCGCTGAGCCACTGGGAGCTTCTATTCAATGTTTTTATTTGATTAAATTACGTATGCAAAATTCAAATTTACGTAAACAGTATGAATAAATGTGCAAAGAGAGAGATATATATACGTTGAACTTCACTTCGTAAAATATGTTGAAATTAGTCAAAGTTTATTTAATCTGGACGCTCACTGAGTAAACGTTACACTGTATACGTATATATATTTCATCTAATAATGGCTGGAGACGGCTTAAATGGGTAATGAAGAAAAACTTTAATATAAGTTTAACAT